GGACTCTACAGGTCCACTTTTACTACTTGTTCTTGACCCGTGCGCTTGCGGCATACGAATCTAGCGAACACTCCCCTCCCCTGAATTGTTGCTCTAGGTTTATATTTATAGTCTAGTCCTGGTAGAATTATGGTTAGATTAGGCCACGAAAAGAATCTAAAAATATCAAAATTCTTTTCTTGTACGGCGGTGCCTCAGAGCTAGTGTCTCAGTGCCATGGTCTGTCCTTTTGGTGGTGTTACGGTGCAACACACTCTGCTTCTACTGTTGCTTGGTGGTGCTGCGACGCCATTTTCTTTGCTTTTCTAGCGGCGCTGCGACGCTACTATACCTGCATCTTTTTATTCGTTCTTCGTCGTTCACTTGGCTTCTTTTGTCCCTTTTTACCACTTCAACCACCTAACACATAACATTAGAACCACACGTTAAAATGCCCAAAACTCATAAGAATTAACTAAAGAGCATGCTTAAGTGACATTGACATAATGAGTAAAACATCACTCATCATTGAGTCCCATTTTTTTAGAATATATTTTGGGAGAAAAAAACAATTTTATTGAAGAATGTTTGGTTAAAAAGTAAGAAAAAATTCAAGTTTGGATGTAAAATTATTTTATTGGGAGAAAATAGTTGAAGATGAGTTTGTGAAAATTTGAGTTTTAAAAATGATATTAAATAGGGGCCAAATGTGAAAGAATGATACCATTGTTGATAATTACCATGGGTGTGCATTAAATTAAAATTTAGAAAAATGATTAGTACAACACCAAGGGGCAACAAGAAAAGATAAAAAAAATTGAGAAGGGGAACATGAAAGAAAAATTTAGAAGTACATATTTAAGGACAAGTAAAGAAATGCTCTCATGTGCAATTCACAATTTCTTACCTTACAATGGTTAAAGAGAATCACAATGAATTCTTATTTAGAAGACTTTATCAAAAAATTGCAATACAACAATCAAATCACATGATTAAAAAATATGATAAGCATTAGAATTACGAAAACAAACCAAACGTTCGAGGGATGCCACGAAATCATCCTTGTGGAATCACGATGGTTAAAGGAGGCAATATTGACTTCGTGAGATGTGGTAGTGGAGGGAGGATGATGAGGTAATGGTACTAGTCTTACGGTTTAATGGAGAGAAGAGAGAGACGTGGTGGTGAGGAAAGATACGATGAGGTATACTAATAAGGTTCTTAATTAAATTAATTAGGATAAATATAATTAAGTTATAATTAAATTAGGGTAAACAAATAATATAATTTATATATCCTAACAATATAAAAGAGGCAGTTTTTCTTAGACAGGTGTTGGATTCTCCTATCGTCAGCCAAAACTATGTTTAAGAATTTCCCCATTTGTTTTCATAACCCGCATTCCCTAGATTTCTCAGGCTTAAGCATCCAATGTCTGCCCTAATTGCTCTCTAGGCAAGAAATCTCTAACCCTTGATTTTGTGTTGCTACCAGCAGTTCTGATCTCTATCGTTGTCTGTTCACCACTGCCTCCGCACTAAGTGTCGTCGACGCCTGAAAGGTATGTTCTTTCTACCTTAAATTTACGAGCAAGGAGACGTTGACAGTGTCTCCATATCGCACGAAGACACCGTGGGTGTCTCCATGTGGGACGGAGACACGGTCGTGTCCATCAGACCTGGGTTCTTGTGGGAAGGGTGAGAATGCTTATCTGGTTTTTGTTGTTTGCATTTCTAAATTTAAGATGCTTGAGAAAATAATAGCCATACAGGGCAGTAAGAATATCCTTTTGGTAATTATGGCACATCTTTACTTTTAAAGTAGATAAGTGAAAGACCCGATTCTGAGTAGAGGATATGTCAGTAGATGAATCCCAATAATTGTGATACTACATTGTTAAGTTCATTAATTATTATTAATTAAGGATTATTTAGTACTAGAAAATGCATGTAGAATTCTTTGAATATCAATAGTTGTGATAATACATTGTTGAGTTCATTAATTATTATTAATTAAGCATTATTCAGTACCTTTGGCAGATAATGCACCTTGGCTTCCACTTTTTGGATTTTAAGAGTTTCTGAACGTCTGATTATCACTAAATGCTTGTTATCTTGCAACTTACAATATGTTGGAACTTGTGTATTACCTTCTCTAATTTTTGAAACTGAAACAGGAAAGTGGTACCGAAAAGCCCATAGTTGCTTTCATTGCTGGACTTACAACTCCACCTGGTCGACGGATGGGTCATGCAGGAGGTACCATATTGCGACCAAATTTAATAAATTTCATGCTTGTACTTCTATCATCTTGTTTCATCTCATTTCCCATGAACCAGTGAGTAACACTAAAAAATGACCAATTGTCTTTCTTTCCTCTTTAAACTTGTCTTGGTTGACATCGTCATTCTCAGTGGAGGAATGATCTTTAATTTCTATAAAGCACAAGGTCATGCCATGGGATCTTCACTTGTGGAAGAGGACAAGCTTAGTCTTGTTATATCACTCATAGAGAAGGCCAAGTCCAAGGAATTGTCTTTATTTCTACCTTCTGATGTTGTTGTTCCTGACAAATTTGCTGCTAATGCAGACANGAGAAGGCCAAGTCCAAGGAATTGTCTTTCTTTCTACCTTCTGATGTTGTTGTTCCTGACAAATTTGCTGCTAATGCAGACAAGAAGGTAGGTTCTTCCACTCATTGGTATTTTGATAATGTTTTTGAGCTCTAGAGGAGCCTTGTAACTTTGACTTTCTGTAGTTTTGAAATAAATCACTAGATAGCTAATGAGATAAATTGCTTACTTTGGTGCTATATATCTATATAGAGAAAAATGGGAATGACTGCAGTCCCAACAAGCTGATTTTTGTCACAAGAGTTCTGTACAGTAGTCCCTGAGGTGTTACTTAACATTTCTGTAGGTTGTTCCAGCATCTGTAATTCTTGATGGCTGGATGGGATTAGATATTGGACCTGATACTATCAAGTCGTTTGAGGAAGCTCTAGATACTATGAAAACAGTCATCTGGAATTTGACAAGTTTTTCAGAGGGATAGTCTGGTATAGTAGATAATAAGATAACTCATTAACTCTAGACAAATTCTATTTTTCTATCGTGTGTTACCTAGATATTTGAAATCAAGTGCATGAACTATTTATTCTTATCCAGGCTACAGCTAAGAAATGGGCAAAGCTTAGTAGCAAGGGAGTGACAACAATCATTGGAGGCAATGACTCTGTTGTTTCTATTGAAAAGGTACGACTGGCTGACAAGATGAGCCATATCTAGACTGGAGATTGTGCAAGCTTGGAGCTTCTCAACGGAAAACCTTTACCTGGTGTTCTTATCCTCAATGAGGCTTAAAGTACTATTTTTCTTTGTTATGATTGGTTTTCAACCAGACCAGCTGAATAAGCCAGACCTATGGAATGATTCTGTACATGCAGGGAAGATAAGTCATGAACATGGTTCACTTATGGAAAAAATGAAAGAGGTTAATGCATTTGAGCAAGAACTACTTTAACATATTGATATGATAACACTTACACAGGGAGAGAATGATGCAGAATTGGAATCGGTGGTCCTCAATTATTCTCTTTCAAGGCATATTGGAGTCACATCTTCAGCTACTATTTCTATTCAGGTATAGATTATGATGAATTTAATTTATCTTATGTTCAGTGAAGTCGTCAATTGGAGAAGAGTCAGACTACGTTCTATTTCCTCAACAGCATTATAATTTCATTTTCTATCACCATTAAATCTTGATCATTTTACACTTTCATTTTTATTTTTATTTTTTTGGGTGGGGATGGGATTAGGGAGCTTGGAAATAGAATTTAGTCAAATATAAATATCTTAGAATATAATAGAAATATTGATTACAGGAAATCTATGCAATTAATAATGTTTGTTTCTTGGGCAAATTTTATTCCTTTGGAATTGAGTTTACTTTCCCTTCTGAACTAAATTTACTTTCCCTTCTGAGTTTACTCACTTATCCTTAGGTGCGATATCCTTGATATATATTGTGCATTATTGATTTACGTATGATGAAATTGAGAGTTGAACCCTGTTTTTCAAGAACTCTGCCTAGAAATGACTATTAAAGCGATGTTAAATATGATGAATCACTCTATTTCGCATCCTTTTTCTCCTTTCTATAAATTTTCCTTGTATGTAGAACCTAGGTTATACACTTTAAATGCCTTGCTAAATTTGAAGACGAGATGCTTGCACTATTGTATGCAACTTCCAAGAGTATAATGCACAAGTTACCGATGTCATNCAAGAGTATAATGAACAAGTTACCGATGTCATCTCAGCACACTTTCTTTAGCTCTCATAATCAGCAATCATGGCGATATTGATAAGTTCAAACATCAAATGATCAAATACCAGCTCAAGACGCTCCCAGAAATAATCATCTATAACAGGTATAAAATTTTCCATACATAGATCTTCGTTTAAGCTGTTGCTCATATTTTTTTTAATATAAATGTATCGGTTTCGTCATTTCTTGTGTGTCTTTTCAATTAGCGAACTCGTGTTGTACACCATACAATTATGTTGTATTGCAAGTCTTTTGTGCCGCTCATCCGATGTGCAAGGAATGAAGCTTGCTTGTACATATTTATACTGTGAAATCATTCAACTTTGTATATATCCAAAATACATAAAGCTTGCTTGTACATATGCTGTTAATTTTGCTACAAGGAATGATACGAAATTTGATTGGATACATCAATATCAGGAATACAGAATATAATATCGATACAAGATAAGTACAAATAATTTCAATATATGTCTATTTTTTTCAAAAATTTTATTACTTTAGCCTCAACAAACCACTTGCAAAACCAATCAATCTCTAATTGTGAAAACAATAAAGCGTGAATCCAACACCTTATACTTTAACTAAAGGTGCTTCACTTTTCTCTTCAGATTTTTTGGCCCTCGGCTTCCAATTTCTCAGGGACAACAACAATTTCTGCTACCTCTTCATTTAGCTTCTGCTGGTTTCTCTACCTTTTCTAGCTTGCTCTCCACCGAAACAAGTTCTTCAAGAATTGGTTTTGTCTCAATTGCTGGGGTTACTTCCACGTTTTTTATGGCCTCTACAGCTCGTTCTGAAAGATCTATTGAAGGTTTTTCCTTAATGTCACCATCTTCCTTCTACTACAATTATGGATTGTAAGAAAAAAACATAATTCTTATATCACAAACCAAATTGATTGTTTTTCAATAGCATATAAGTTTTCGTCTAAATCTAGGTTTGGATCGTTTGGCATGGACATCTATAAATATGATATGATCATTTGCTTTGTCGGATATATGATAAATTATCAATGTTAATTCTATTATTTACTTTAACACCCTTTTTTTCATTTGTGTGTATTCTGTTGAAACTTCCAAGTTTTCTATCGAAGAAGTTTCAATTACATGTGCAAAAAAATCTAAGTACTCTTTAGAGACCATTTTTCCTATTTTTTCATAACCACGAGAAATAGTACATTAGAGAGGTGAACTTTCATATTGTTATTTGAGACTTTGACATCGAACAAGGTAGTTGTGTGTATAGTTTTTATCTGTAAAATTTGCTCAGCCTGCTTTTTTGTACTTCGGTGCTTATTTTATTTTGGGGGTTACTCAGTTTTTAGAAATTTCATGTATTATGCAATAGATGTGATGGATTTCAAATTCTTGCATCTATCAAATATTCTTCTAATGTAATAAACCTTGAAAATAGCTGTTAAGGCGTAAGTTTCAAGGTGTTTAATGAAAGGCCTTAGGCAGGCCTCAAGGCGTAGCCTCTTGCAGCTTTTTAAAACAATGGCTTTAGTTTTGTAAGTTGCTATCAATTTAGGAGGTTGAGTAGTTATGCATATGATGGTTTTTCTATTTTTCTTACGGTGATACAGTTTGGGTGTCTCTTTGGAAACCATGGACGCTTTGTGACCTTATCATTGGAGAAGAAAGAACAAGAGTTGAACGCCCATGATGAGATGGCATCGATCAAAAAGCCGCACCAAGAAGAAAATACAGCAACCAAAGAAGCTCGGGATGCAGAAGGCAAAGAGGAGACAACTGATGGAAACGCGATAAGCACATCTTCTTCTTATCAAATGGCTACTTCCTATTTACAATCTCGTACAAAAAGTATTCTTCATTCACTAAGTTGATAATTGATATCAAATGACTACTTACTATGTATACTTTTAACCGTTAGCTTCTGGTTCATTCACTAAGTTGATAATGAATATCATAATTTTTCGCACACCCAATTCATTTGACATTATATGAAAACACTCCATGTCTTGTAACATCTTTTTGCCCTTGTTGCATTTGCTAGCATCACATCTGACGTTACTCTTGTTACACAGCAAAATTCATCTTCAAGTTCCATGTGTGTCTCGAGACCAAAAGAATGTTCGTTAATAGGTAATTATTTTTATTCTTTCGTTAAGTTTCTATAATTGTGTAAAATGACCAAAAATCATTCCACGCTATTAAGTAGACAACTACGCTACGACACGTACATTGCACGTACGTCTAACTAATTTATAAAAACAAAGGTAAAGTTGAATATATTTTTTTTACGAGAAGTGCTTGGTGTACATCCCCCCTCACAACATAGGTGGGAGCCATGATAATAAAATAATCGTGGCCCCCATACTTGTGAGGGGGCTGTGTACAAATTGGTGTACTCAGCTTTTTCTTTTTTTTACGAAGGTGGCGTTTTAGTTCAGTGGGTTCCGCATGCAACTTTCGTAAACTCAGTGAGTCTGACTCAACTCCGAGTTTGTGGTGGAGAAACGGGTTTACAAATCCTCCCTAATATATAATAAACAAAAAAAAAAGTGAAAAGGAGCTTCTGGAGCAGTAATATATGCCACATGGCATCATCCTTTTGACATAGAGCTCGCTTTGTCCCCTTTCAGCCTCAAATTAAACTTCAAATTTCCTAATTTGTTTTTTTTTTTATTAAATTACTTGTGGCTCTCAATTTTTCTCTGTTTAAAGAAAAAACAAAATCAAACCTCCATTGCCACTTGCCAGCTCCTTCTCATCTTTCTTTGCTCTTCTACTCGTTCATTCAGTTCATATAAAGTGATCGTTTATAATTAATTGATTAATTTTTGACATCTTCTTAATATTCCGATCGATTTGGATAAAGATCTGAACTTCCCCATGGCTATATTCGAAGGTACCTATCTATGGGTTTGATTCATTTATTCTTGCATATTGTTAATAGGAATGATGAAATTTCGCCCATTGTAATTATGTTTACTTATTGAACCGATTTTTTTTTTTTTTTTTGTCGAAGATGAAGAATAAAAGAAAGTTATGTCTTCGCATTCTTCTACAAAAATTTAACTTTCTAATGGTACAATGAGCAGATCCTCTGAAACATTGAGAGAAAAAATTCTACAAATTCAAAATATTTAGGATAACACAAATTCAAAAGTACCAAATTACTAATAATGCAATTTTTTAAAGATTTAAGTCCCTTTTTGAGCTCCATTTTTTTTTTTACCTCATTTTCAACATTACATTATCTTCAATAAAATAATTTTACGCAACTATATTCTTCAAAAAAATCACTTTTTACAAAATTTATTCTAAAAAATAGTCTCAAACAAGGTTAAAAGTCCTACAAAAGAGTAACAGTCGTCATTATTTGTTCCCTATTTAGTGCTAGTTGCACAAGTTTCCCATTTCTATGTTTTGGTCAAATGTCACATTTACACCAATATTGAGGCTTTGACCTTTCTTTAATGCATCAAAATTTATTTTAAAATATTAAAATTGAAGTCTCTTTTGTTGTAGATTTAATCTTGTATTATTGTAATTGATTTTTAAGAGAAAGTGATGAAGGAAGTATAGTTTTTTAACCCGACAAAGAGAAATTGTTCGTCATCGTAGGTTATTGATGCATCTCACTCTTTTAATGATGAATAATGCTATTTAGTACCATTGGTGTTAAAACATGAGTCCATGCCGTACAAATGTGTCATTAAATTATATGTATAATTAATGAATCATTTAATTCTATATTTCATTCAGTCTATCACTTAGCAATCTAGACTTGTGTTGTAACTCCAGTAGTATTGGATATTATTATACTTCAATGAATTAGTTGTTCGTCGATATCAAAATGGGACGAGTTGCTTTCAATTAGAGATTAAGAATAAAGATCGAAATCTACGAGAATCAAATAAAAATTGATTTTTTGTCAATCGAATCCATTCTTGGGGTCCAACGGTGACCTTTAAGTTGAGACAAAGTTGCAACCTAGTCAATAAGTTAGATATCATTGCTGCAATTTTTCCTTTTAACAAAATAATTATATGTTTCGTATGTTAAAATACAACTCGCAAATACTATTATGTCCTTTTTCTTTATTCAGGTAAAGTCCACGACATGTTTGGTAAAGTAGTTTATACAATATTGGAGGACGAAGAAAGAGTTTAAAATTTTATTTGATACAAAGTCAAAGTCATTTTAATTGATAAACACCAACATTTCCTTAGAATATATATGTTACTTAATTATAATTGAAAAATAAGTAGTTCAACTTATTTTTTCCATCTAGAATTCCTCCTGTTTGATCACCAACTCTCACCTATCAATTCAAACATGCTAAAAAAACACACAATATATATACATAAACACTTATAGCATAGTCCATCAATAGTATAGAGCAAAAAATTTGGGAGTAATAAAGCTGAAGAAAATGAAATTCGGAACAGTGTGTGATATTTCAATGGCGATGCTAATATTTTCCTGTTTAGTGAGCCAAAATCAGGGCCAAGTTCAACAGCAAGAGTGCATGAACCAGCTTCAGCCTTGCTTGAATTTCCTAAACAGCGATCAGAATCCACCCGACAGTTGCTGCAATCCGCTGAGATATGTGATCAAATCGATGCCGGAATGCTTGTGCAGTTTGATTACCATCAAGGGTGCCAACCAAGCTGAACGTGCCGGGATCAATGTTACCGAGGCTCAAACGCTGCCCGGCAGATGCGGTGAACGTATCAACCCCATCGGCTGCATTACCGGTAAGCCCTTGACCATTTCTTGACATTTGATGCACTGAATTGAATAACTGACAAATTTTGTTACATGTCTCTCGTTTTTCGACTAATGTAATTCTCGGTTTCAGGTACACCCGATACACAATCAAGAAATTCGGTTCCAAACTCCAGCAGCTCCTCATTCAGATTACCAGGATTGATTAAAGTAGTTGCTGCATCAATAGGAATTCTCATTCTAAATCCGTTGTAGCATACTTGAGCACTCGTTTATTTTTCTTGTGGGAGATGGCAATAAAATATATATAATATTTGTAGCAATAAAAATTTGTACTTCGACTATATATGTACCTGAATACTTGGGTTTTAAGCATTTTACGTTTGTTTTTCTTTTACCTTCGATAGTTTCTTAGACATTTAAAAAAAGGGAAAAAAAAATACACACTACACCAAAAACTGCTTATGGCAACGTGCGAAAAACGTTGCCATAGACTTTTGGCAGCGTTCGGGTGCACGTTGTCGGATTCGATGTCGCCGTAGAGTTCTAACTTTTGGCAACGT